GGCCCTGAGTCACGCGCTCCCCTTGGCAGGACTTGGCTTTGCCCTTCCCGGCAATCCCGGCTAAAAGCAGGGGGAGAGCCCTCCTGGTGCTAGTCGAAGCTTTCGGGAAGCTGGAGGAACCCCTCCAGATCTTGCCAGGTTTGCACCCCCACAAATCATAAATAATCTGCTTCAGTGCCCAGAAGGAGCCTGGAGCGAGGGAGTGGGATGCCGGGTTTGGTGTGATCCTGTGTTCAGGTGTACCTGTCCTCTTCTCGCTGCTTCAGCTTTCCTATTCATTCATGCCTGAAATAAGCCCTCTGCCTAGCTGATAGGCAAACGCTTTGTTCTGCTTCAGTTGCGGTCTTTATTTTCCCCTCCGAAGGGAACTCTCTTGAAGCTTGTTTTGAATGGAAGGAGTCCAGGTTTGGAGCGGTCGGGTTTTATTTTTTCCGTTCTTTTGGCTGTCAACCCAGCCACCTTGTGCCGCGAGGATCAGCAAAGGCTGGAAGAAGCAGGACTGTGTTGAGGGCAGATTGATCTGCGTGGCAGGAGTTATTAATTCGACCTCCCCTCTACCACCTTGCTCTAGTGTTACCCTTGGTTGCTGCTAGCTGTGTGTTAGTCGCTGCTGGGTGCTTGTGTACAGAAGGGTGTGCTTAGATGTGAGTCATCTCGCAGTTAGAAGCTCAGGACAGATGATGGGGGGGGGCCTGGCTGGGTGGTTTGGGGTCAGGGTGGCACAGGGCACCTGTAATGCTGCTCCAGCCGTGCACCCTGCGCAGGGTCACGGGATTATTACAGCCCCGCGGCCTCCCTGTGCTTTATGTGCTCTCCTAATCCGTGCATAATCTTCTCCCGTGGGCTCTTTGTAGCCCTTCCAGTTCCATCTCTCATGTGGTGTTAGTGGCGCTTAACAAATCCCTCCTGGGCACCCTCTTTTCTGAGCAACCTGCTGAAAAGTCTCTGTTTTACCAATCCAGTGATTTTTATTTTTTTAATGCAGCCCAGCTCAAGGGCTCCTGAGGCCTTTTCTTTTCCAGGTACAAGCTAGCATATAATTTAAACTTTAATCAGCGCTGGCAATTTCAGTTCAGAAACTTAAAAAGGGACTTGGCATTTTTAGAAATCATCTCAGACCTGTGAATTTTAAGATCCTGCATTTAAAGCGAAAGAAAATTGTGCTTCCTGGAAGTAGAACAGGTTTGAGAATTAAACATGTCTTTCGAATTCTTTAATTCCCACCTGCCCCTCCCCAGCTTTCTTACCACCATTTGCTGGAGCTTGAGGACCAGGGAGTGAATCTGCTGGGAGACACAACCGAAATGCACCCAATTATTTTCCTGTCCAAGTCTGCGATTAAAGCCATGCGGGCAAATGTTTCAGAGGTTGTAAAGATCCAACCAAACAAATCCAAATTCAAGATCTGAGCCCAAGTTACAAATTACCTCCTAAGTGGAGGGCAGTGCACTTCAAGTAGTTGCGCTTTTGTTTTCATTTGGGGCAAGGTAGCTCATAGGATTTCTAATTGGAGTCGAGCCTGTTTGCTGAATAAACGTAGCTTTTAGGGGCTGGTATGACTTTTAGCTTTTCAAGGCATTTTTAAAGCTCAAGGTAAAGTGTTATAGTCCATGGGATTTTAGCAAAGATGTGTAGCTACTCTCTCTGGGCTGCCAATCTTCCCAGGACAGAGCCAGCATGAAGGAGCTGCTGCAGCTGAACTGCTGCTAGCATCCAAAACGCAATGCTGGTAAAGTGGGATGTGTAACGCATCCCAAGCCACAGCCAGCCATCTCCATACGGCTCTGTTAGCTGCCGACACCAAACCCTCTCCGCCTTGGTGTAACACACACAGCAGCCCAAGGGGGTAGGCTGAAAACCGCATGAGCAGCTCTGGTATTGAATTTCTCAGCTTTTAATATTTGTATGCTGCTGAATTCGCGGAGAAGGGAAAGGAACTGCAACTTCAGGCCTTTTATTTCTCTTGTTTGTCTTAACTCAGGGACTCTTGTAATTTTGGCTTACTGAAGCTCTCCCGCATTCCTCGCTTCCCAATCCATGCAAACAGCTGCTGGCTCGAGCAGCGTTCAGCAGCGAGAACTGGCAGGAGGCTGAAATACGCCTCTTGCTCCTCCTTTGGACCAGCAGTCCCAGTGCAGGAAATATTTTTCCATTCTGATGGGGAAGTGAATGTCGGAGCACGCGGCCCTCGCGTGCAGCCAGTCCCGGTGCCTTCGCTTGCGTGTGGGAGCTGGTCAGCCCGTGTGGTCCAGGGTTCAAAGCGTCGCTGCCTTCCGAGGGAATGAGTGATAGGCTTTTGTCACCCGGCTGTTCTTGGCCAGTGTCCCAGCGAGTGCGAGGTGGTACATGAAGGAGGCAGCTCTTCTGCTGGGATACCCTCTTCTTTCCATTTCCTGCTGCTGTGTTTCAAAAAGGAAGGAAAACGAATCGCCGACTCCCTCCAAACAGCCTCCCTCTGCTCTCCTGCTCTGCTTGTGGCTGTAGGATGTGCAGATGAATATTTGGTAACAACAACTTTGGGGCAAAAATGGTGTTAGTTCTCTATTTTGGGTTCAGAGCACCTGATGCAGGCGGGTACAGAAAACCCTGCAGCCCTGCTTTGGCTCACGCTGGCCCAAGCCGAGCACGGACATGCTGGTGGTCCCTGAGGAGGAGATGTGTTGGTGTGAAACCTGCCATAAAGAGAGCTGGCAGAGGCAGGTGTTCTATTGGATACCTCAAGTATTAGTTTGCTGTTTTGAGCAGTAAAATAACCATCCTTGGTGCATTAGGGGAGAACGAATTACATTGAAAAGATCAGTTGCAGGGACTGGGGTCTTCTGTTGGTGATCTAGAGCGGTTTGTCACCAACACCAGTCGAGCTGGGGGTGTTGTGTAAAAATCTCAGAGCAGCTCATAAACTAATTTACAATGAATTCCTGGAGAAAGTGTTGCTTTCCTCTTATAAATGCAGACATGTGGGTGTGTCTGTTCTTCACTCACTCTTTCTATTTCTTTTTTAAGCTAGCAAGCCACATGAGCATGATGGATGGGATGCTCCATGGAGCGTGGGATCTTCCCCCATCCGGCAGGGATGTCATTCTCCATGCAGATGGCATCCTCCAGTGGAAGCCACCTACTGCTTCTCTGCCTCTTGGGAGACCTGAACTTTTCCATTTGACGGAAAGGAAGCTCATAGCTCCCTGCTGACTGTTGGAAGTTAAGCGAGCAATCAATGACGTGAGACCTTAGGAGGGAGAAGGCGACTTTATTTTAAAACAAAATGAATTTTGCTCGTTCACAGTCATACCCACCTGCTCACGAGCACCAACACGGGGATCTCCAAGTGGTCTGTCTGGCATTCGGGCATCAAGACACGTGTGTCCAGATGGTCTGGACATGATTCCTTGCAATGACACAGCAGACAAGGGATGCCAAATATCAGACCTCTGGTGTCCCTTGGACAGCTTGGCGACCATGTGATGGCTTTGAGTCTGCTTAGCCCTTGGGGGCTAAGAGTGGTGGTGATCTTTTGTATTCCTGTCCCTTCTCTGTGAGTCTTTAGGATTTACTGACTACCCTTTGTGTCTTTATCTGGATGTCTTAAGGCTCCTACCCCATTCTCTGTTCTTCCCCACATCATCTCTTAATGGCTTGAGTCTCTGGCTTCAGTCTTTGTTGATGCAGATTGTCCCTTGTTTCAAGATGTTTCTTGTTTTCCAACCTGAGAAGCTGCAGCTAGGTGTGCTGAGATCTTGAGGACGTGCTAAATCACTGCCCTCAACACAGGCTATGTATTGCGCCCTGCGTTCTTCCTGGTGCTTCTGTACTCATTCCCATCCGTTCTTCGCTCAGATCACGCTCAACGTATGTATTCCTGCCATTTGCAGACTGTGCGTGAAGCGTTGTCTTCTGGTTTTGCGTGCATGTATAACGCTGCACAGGAGTCAAGGGACTGATCCTGGCTCAAAACTGAGTGAGCAGAAGCCTGAATGGAGCTGGTGTTGTAGCCCTGGAGCTCAAATCAGTGAGAAAAGTTTGGGAACTGCTTGTGTAACCAAGTCATTCGTGTGCACAAGTGCTCAGAGAGCTCTTGCTTACAAGCTGGCAGCTCATGTCGGGGTGGTCATAACGCTGCCAAGACCGGTGCTGAGCACAGGTGGGGAGTGATGCGGAGTGGCCGCTTGCCTTGGCATGCTACTGCTAGTGAGCATCTGAACTTGGGTCAGGGCTTACAGATCTGCCCAAGGCAGATCAGCAGCAGCTCTGGGCTGGTTTTGTACAGATCCGCAGCAACTGGTGGTGTCTGGGGCCACAAAGAAGCTGAGTGTCTCCGAAGAGTTTTTGCTCTAAATTAGCAAGAAAAGTTGCTAGCATTGGCAGGGAGTGGGTAGGGGGTACCTCATTTGCCCTCGACCAGAGGGTTTTGAGGCCGATCCACTTCTCTGTAGCCTCCTAAATGCATAGCGAGCATCTTCTGTGAAAGGCTGAGCTTGTTTCCCTCTCTTAAATGGCTTGTGTGATATGGCTGCAGGGTGGGGTGGATTTGGGGCATCATTCTCAGCTCCGTGTGCTCTCTTTGTTTCTTGCTGCAGGTCCCCCAGAAGAAAATGGTGTGAGGGCAGCCAGCTCAGCTGCCACTTCCAATCGCAGCGTGCCCAGACCTCAGGGACGAACATGGCAGCAGCTCAGGGAGCAGGAAGCAGTTCGGCCGGACCATCCGGACTCCCCGGTTCTGCCCCGGGGCACAGCAGCAACTCCACGGCAGTGGCGGTGTGGGAGTGGCAGGATGAATTTGGCAGGTGGAGGCCGTACCGAGGGAACGTCTGCAGCTACATTGAACAGGTTTTTCAGGCCTCTCAGCAGAAGGGCCGGCGTTCGGGGTCAGGGCTTGTCAGCAGCATCCCTTTGGGACACGCGGATCCTGTCTTGGCCCCTTACGTCATCGACATCCCAAGCTTGACGCAGTTCCGGCAGGATACAGGTAAGGAAGCTTCCCTGCCTGTGCTGGGGTTTTGATGAGGCTGCTTACATGCTTGGAGATACGTGGCACCTTGTTCTGCGTAGGAGAGACCTACAAAGCTCTGCTCTCACTGCTGGGCAGTTCTTTGGTGGGTGGCGTGTCTGCTTCTCTCCTGATGCTGTCTGCTGCCCAGCATGTTAGCATGTGAGCAAATCGGTGTTGGCTGGCGTGAATCTGTGGGGCTGGGCGCAGGCAGGCGGTGGTGATTTCTTAAGGAGCCTCATCACGGGACCTCTGGAGCTCAGAGTTTGTGAGCCAGAGCCCTCGGAGCTGCAAACTTTCTTCTTGCCCCCACGCACATCCATTCAAGACCACTCGCATAAAAAGGCCTTTTTACGATTCAAACCCTCCCATTTGAATCCCTTGTTCCCTCTGCGATTGGAGTGCCAGCTGCTTTACCTTGGCATGCCGCCCTGCGCAAGCTGCTTTGCGAAAGCCTGCAGCCCCCGCAGAACGCCGTAATGCTGCAACAGAATATTCCTTGCGCTTGTGTTATATGAGGCTGGCTTGCTTCCTCCCAGGGAGGAAGGGCAGGCTGGTCTTAATAGCGGGATTGAGACCTAATTTTCATTCTCATCTCGTCTCTCTTGGGGTCACTGAGGCTAGCAGCTCAGAATTTGCTGAGATGACTCTTACCCTCTTTTGCTCCAGATGCGCTGAGCAGCTGTAGCTCAGAAAGAGGGCAGGAATGGAATGCATGTTCTTCATCTCTGGAAAATCCAGGGAGATCCCAAATTACACACCCCGAATGAGTGGCTGCTTTGGAAAATTCTCTGTGCATCAGTTTCCTCTTTGCCAACATTTTTCCCACCACCCCAGGACACAGTCAAGCATCACCCCAAGCTTTAAGAGATGGGCAGTGCTCTGGTTTCTTGCCAATTGAAGCAATAAGTGAGCAATATCTTGAATCAACTGCACGATTGGGCAATTCCTATAGGAAAGGGAAGTGGTTGCAGCCAATGCGAGTGGTCATCACAGCTGCATCCGTGTGTTTATTCTGACTTGGTGACCTTAGGATTAGTTTTTCCTAGGGGTGTCCAGGTGAGGAGCTTTCTTAGCTGGATGCCTTGGCAGGTCTGGCTCACCATGGCCTGTTTGAGCACCTGGAAGCCCTGCTGGGGCTGTGGCTTCGAGCAATAGAGCATGGACCACCAGAGCTGGCACCAGCGCCTGTTTCTTTCTCGTTTTCTTCACACCAAGCTTGTGAGGGAACCTTCCAGCCTCTTGTCCTTTCAGCCAGTGCTCCAGCACATGAGCAGCAGTCCCAGGCTGTCCGTTGTCAGGAAATAGCCCAGTTTGGTGAGGGTGAGCAGAGTGCCAGTGTGAATGGGACATCCTTCTCCACAAGTGGAGCTGTCTCTCTGCAAAGGTCTTGTATCTCTTTAGACCTTTGTGAAAGATCTCAAAACACCTAGTGAATATTGTCCATCGCAGGATGGTTTGGAGTTGGTCATTTTAGAAATGATGTTGGCTGATGTGATCTCATCTTTCCTTGGTCGAGATTTGTGGTTGAATCGTTAATAACAAAAAGGCTGATTCCACTTTGCAGCTCTCCTGCAGCGTTTCCCACCAATTTGGAGGGATGCTGATCAGAGTGGCCAGGTCTGTGAGCCTCCCTCCACAAGTACCTGTGCGCTCTGCAATGTGACTATTGGTGATGCTCTCATATCCCCTTTCAGTGGCCTAGTTCTAAGCCAGGCTTTTTCTCTCTGCAGGGCTCTGCCTTAAACATGAACCTTTCTGAGCGAGCAGCCAGCTGACCTTTGTCATGTGCTAGAGAAAAGAATCTCTGCAGGAAACATCCCCATGAAAAATCTTTAAACAGAGCAAAAAATAGGCTGTTGTATTCTGCTCATTAGCTATTAGACAGACAAATAGGCTCTTCAAAGGAAGCCAGGGAGAATAACAGGAAGCCAGTGTTAACGGGACCAGCATCCCCACCAACGGGGAATGACAGCTGTGCAGGGGAATCTTGTGGGCAGGATTAGCCGCGGGCTTCAGCTGCTGGTCGAGGCAGATTAGCTGGGAGTGAATGCAAGGGAGCAGCAGGAGTTGTCCTCTCCCCACAGCTGTTTGCCCACCCAGGAGAGGAATGCCAGTTTCCCTGCCAGCCTGAGGGAAGGGGAACATTTTCCAAGTGGCTTTAGTCTTGTTATTGACTCCTAAAAGCTCTTCTCCCTGCTGCTTTTTTGGGATGTTAAAAATACAGGTTGCTTACAAACTCCTCTAGTCCTCTCTGTGCTGCTTTTAGCTTCTGACCTGCCAATGGAGCAGGGGCAGCCTTGCTCATCTCCTCTGAGATACGTCCTGCTGGGCTTTCTGACACCTTGCTTTACCCGTGGCAGTCCCCTTTGTCCTGGGAGCAGGTTCCCTGTGCTCATCTCTCAATGCAGTTCATTTCTCACCATCTCACTTCCAGCCCAGTCTCATCCCCAGTCCTCCTTCTGCTCAGGGGGTCATCCCTGATGTGGCCCACCTGTTGAAGTTGTAGGTTGTGTGTTTCTAAAATTTGGCAGGACTTGTTTGCTGGATGGGAGCAGTGGTTGCTAGAGTTTGCTCTTGGCTGTTTCATCTGCTTTTCCATGTAAGATGTTGATTCCTGGCTGGGGAAGGTCAGCTTGGTTCTGCTGACACCTTCTGCCCTGACTTCTGCCAGAGCAAGGTCTTGTCCCACAGGAATCGTGGGGGGCTATGGGCTTCATGGCTGAGCTATTGGGGTTCAATCCCAGGTCTTGTGGGGGAGGTTGCTGTGTTTCACTGGCTGCTAGTAGCTTTTTAGGTGTGCTGATGAGATGATGTCTGTTGGATGGTGTCACTGGAGAGTCCTGCTCTGCAATAAGCAGGATACTTGGTGCCGCTCTGGCCGCTGAAGGAGAGGTTGCGAGTAAGTGCTGGACCTTTCCTAGCTGCTCATGCCCTGCATGGGCTGAGGCAAGCCATTCCAGTCCCCAGTGCCTCCAGCTTCCCAGCAGAAACGCAAGTCCTGCCGTTCCTTGGTATGGCACGTTCTGCCTTTGAGAGAGCCTCAGCCTTTATGTCAGCTCTGGAGCTCAGATCTGTCTTTCCTGATGTAGTTTCTGCAATGATACATGGGACATACCTGCACCCCAGCACAGGGTCTCGTTATGGTCTGACCACCAAAGCGCTGCGCAGAAACCACCAGCACCATTTACAAAGAAGCCCAGGAGCAGAGGTGTGACTTTCATGCTGTCAAGCAGAATTTTTAGCAGCAAGGAGGCAGTTAATGTCCTTATGGTTTGAGTCAAGGCCTGGTAATTTCCACAATATCCCAATACTATGGGGTAGAAAGGACAACAGTGTGAGGTGGAGATACTGGAGCCAGCATCCAGCCAGCCAGAGCCTGAACACAGGTAGCGATTGGGTTTTGGCAGTGTGGAGTCCCATGTGGGCTGTCCTCCCTCTTCCTTGGGCTGTGCTTGTTGGGCGTAAAGCTTGCTTGGATTGCCTGCCCCCCACGGAGCCACCAGCAATATCTGCAGGCTTTAGGTGCAGATACTGGTTTTTTACCTGTGGTCCTGGAGCTTAGGGTCGTAACTCTCATGACCTCTTAGGAGGCTTTATTTTATTTTTGTCTTCTTGGTGCTGTTCTTCTCTGAATTCCTCCTGTGTTGTAACGACTTGCTGCATCCCTGTTCACCCCCACCTACCTGCATCCCCAGACTTGTTTGCCCTGTGGCGTTTCCCGCTCCTCTTTCTCACTGCAGGGTGCTGCTGAGGATTTTCCCAGCAGCAGCAGTTTTGACCCTGCTGCAGGAACCTGTTTTTGCAGAGGTTGCAGAGCTTCTGTCCTGTTGGGTGGCTTACCTCCCTCTCATTAGGCTTTTTCTTTTGTAAAAAAAGGAATAAAGTAGCCAGGAGTGAAGTCACCCTGGAGAGCCAGGTTTCCAGGGGGTTTCGAGCTCCTGCTGTTGCCATCGAGCGGCTTTGCAAGAGCAGCGTGTCTGCTTTCATTTCTCTTCCTTTGTCTGAACAGCTGCTGTCTCCAGTTTCCAAATTACTTTGTTGTCTTGTCTCTAGTCTTGCCCTATCTCCCAGCAGTCAGGAACCTGGAGAAGCTGGCCCCGTCCGTCCTCTCCAAAGTTCTCGACCTTGCCCTTGTGAGACTTCACCCACAAGCAAAATTGCCCAGACCCTTGTGTAAGGTGTTTAGCCCCTTAGGCGCTTCTGCAAAGCACTTCCCGGAGGTGTCATGTCTCTATAGTTACTCCGTTGTCAAGGCTGTGGGAGTTGGTTTTTTTAACCAGATCTGTGCCTCAGCCTGAGTTGTTTGTTTTTTTTTTTTTTTTTAAAACTTTCTAATGTCAGGGAGGCGTATGTGATCGCTGTGCCTTTGTGCTTGGGTGTGTCTGTCTCTGCATCCTCTCTCCTTCCCTCCTTTCCCACCCTTCCTCCCAGCAGCTTTTGAACCTGTTGCCAGCCCGCAATCAGATTTGGCAGAGGGACAGGGATCTCGGGGGTATTGCGTTTCTCAAAGCTTCATGAGCAAACCCAGCCCTGTCGGGAAGAGAAAGTCTGTTAGTGCCCCTGCCGAGGGAGAGGTGAGGAAGGCCACCCCGATGTAGACACCGCAGATCTGTGCAGAAACAAGTCCTTGAGACCAGGTCCCCCTTACTTCTCTGCTCACAAAATGATTCTTTTTTTTTCTCCCCCCACCCTCCCCACGCAGGGACGATGCGGGCCGTCCGCAGGCACCTCTTCCCCGGGGACTCAGCCGCCGCGCAGGGCATCGTCTGGGAGTGGCAGAACGATGAAGGTGGGTGGTCCCCCTACGAGATGAACGTCTGCGTGTTCCTGGAGCAAGCCCGTGCCACGAACCACCAGCGAGTAGATCTCGGACCCTTGGGCTACAACTATGAAGTTGACTTTGTGGCTCAAGTCCAGACCAACAAGACCACAAGGTTCCGTCGCGGTGTTCAGAGGCGCTTGGACTCCCCGTACCCAGTGACAGCCTCCCCGGCACCCCTTCACACGGGGGTGGCTTGTTCCTGCCAGCAGGGCTGGCTAAATGGTGGGACTGGTCCCATCACCACGCGCTACCGGCATTCAATGATAAACTTTCCCAACTCTTCCGCTACTCATCAGGTTTCCGGTAGGACAGCGTCAGTAAGTTCTTCCACCGTCGGCTTCGTGCCCTATAACAAACCGACTTTGTCTGGAGCAAGGTCAACACCGAGACTCAATGCACAGAGCACCTGGGCTTTGCCTCAAGCTGGGGGCCCCAGCACAGGACTGTCTGCATCTAACGGAGTCAGGTACACACCCTAATTCACCTTTAAATAATGTGCATGTGTCCGAGAGACCTGCTGTGCTCAGGTCTTCATTATCTAGGAGCCTCTCTGTCCCAGAGGACTTTACAAGGGTCTTCTTGCTCAACGGAGAGAGGTGTTTGTGCCTTTGTGTCCAATACAGTGGATGAGAAGGCTTCTCCTCTGCTTTTCCCTTCTCCCACTTGAAATCTAGTCCCTGTCTACTAGTCTCCCTGAACCAGTGGAGAAAGCAGTCAGGTTGAGATACTGCAGGTTTGAGGAAATTAAAGATGATTGGTGGCATTTCTGGTTACACTTAAAAACAACTTTGAGGGGAATGAGTGAATGAAAAGGGGACTTGTGAATACCCTCTTTAAATTCGAAATATGCAGTAAACATAGAGTGGAAAATTGCTCTGTGTTCAAAGCTCTTCCCCTTCAAGGAGGAACCACAGGGTTCACTGCCTGTGGCTGAGACCTCGTGAGTTCTCTGACAAAACCACGAAGTCCATGTTGGACATTTTTAAGGTGAACAAGAAGAAAAAAACCAACCCTAAGACATAGGTTTGATCAAGGATTTTTTAAATCCATTGTGAAGATGTTTAGAAAACAAATCAGCAATTCGCTTTCCCCTTCCTTTGATAGCCTGAACAATATTGATCCCTCTCTATCTGAAATCAGTGGGGTGACACTAGCAATTTGAGTGGCGTCCAGGCTATTTGTCAGTCTAAATGCTGATGCAGAGCCGAGGTGCCACTGGATAATCACAGAAGACGTTCATTTTGCATGCGTGGAGGTGCTGTGGGGCTTCACTGTTGTGATGTTGGAGGACTGGAAGCACAAGCAGGACTGGAAGCGATTTAAAATCCAGTTAAGCCTCACTTCGTGAGGGTTGTTTGCCACGTCCTTTTCCTTCATCTTTCTCTCTCCTGGCTGGGTGCTCAGAGTGGGCTCTGGCTCTCTGGAGGGAGCTAGTTACTTTGAAAGAAGGACTGGGAGTTGTTGCGGTGCTAGCTGAGGTCTAGATTTCCTCAGTTCTTTGAGCTGTCACCCCTCAAACGCTCCAGCTTGTGTGGATGGGTCACCCCATCTGGTGCTGGCTGGAGTAAGCCCGTGCCACGAACCACCAGCGAGTAGATCTCAGGCCCTTGGGCTACAACTGTGAAGTTGACTTTGTTGCTCTAGTCCAGACCAACAAGACCACGAGGTTCCGCCGTGGCGTTCAGAGACGCTTGGACTCTCCGTACCCGGTGACAGCCTCTCCGGCACCCCTTCACACAGGGGTGGCTTGTTCCTGCCAGCAGTGCTGGCTGCTGATCCATTTTCACCGTGGCTTTTCTCTGACAGGGCTGAAACTGGTGTGCATCTCGCAGCACAGGATTTCAGCTCCCGTCAGGGAGCGGCTGGAGCTGAAGGAGGACTGTGTTTGCACCTTGCTGGTGTGGGAGGAAAGGCTTCACTTCTCTACAGGCCTTTCGGCTGTTGCCAGCTAAATGAAAAGCAGAATCTCGTGGGCTGACAGCTCCGCTCCTCTCCACAGGGTGGGCTGCTGGGCCAAGCCGTGGTCAGTTATCCCCCGTGGGCTGGAGCGGGGCTGTGGCACTGGGCTCCAGCGGGGGATTTTGGGCAAGGGGGAGATCAGCGTCACCCTTGCAAAGTGGGGCACTTCCCTCCATGTTCTTGTAGGATGGCCTCTGTGAAGCCTGGACACCCAAACCAAGCCAGGTCACCACTAATTGGCTTTCAGGGTCTTAGCTCTTGCTGTGCGCGAGCCTTTGCTAGCAGAGGTCTTTGTGGCCTGTCTGGTGATAATACTTGCACCGAGTATCTCCCAGCATTAAACTGAGGACCAAGCAAGGGCTGTCTGACTGCTCTCTCTGTTTGTAAACTGCTGGAAGTGTACGGAGCAGTATATGCGTTTCACTGTAAATAATCCAGGTGCTTGTTCGAGCACCTGAGAAACTAAAGGGGAACTTGCCAGGGCTGATTTACCTGTCCAAGCTACCCCGAGTAAATACAGAGATAAGAGATCTAGAAGGGTGTTGAAAGCACATTCTGCTAATTACATGAGGCACAGGGGTTTGAGGTTCGTTTTGAATCTCATTTATATTTTAAGCAAGACGGTGAATCTTCAGATATTTTCCTTAGTGTCGTATCAGGACTTTCCCTCCTCGGGGTCATCTGAGTGAAATGACTTCCTGCATCCTGTTCTTCTTTCTCACGGTCTTTTTCTGGTGCTTTCTTTGCACCTGGTGATTTTTCGTGGCATCTTAAGCATTCGCAATACTTCTCTGTTCCAGTCATCTTTGAATAGGGCTGAGAACCAGAGCTCGGTACTGCCTGCGGGAGCCCCCAGTAAGGCTTTTGCAGTCTCCTGAAGAAGCTGCCAAATTTTGCCCTCTCACAGGAGCTGCTGGTCGGTGCGTGAGGCTGCTGGGCTGCCTGGAGTCCATGTCCTTCTCCAGAGCCTCACCGTGATTTGCAAAATGACTCTCGGAGTGGGAATTGCTGATTAAAAACGAAGAGCCAAATACCGCAGCAGTTGCCCCGCAAGCCTGTCTGGAGCCGATCAGGGTCTGGGTATGTTGTGTGCTACTGATGGGGGGACAGGCTGCCTTGAAAGGAGGGAGGATGGGAGACGGATTTTAGAAGGGTGGCACAGGATCCTTGCTGTGAACTGAGGCCGTGGCACGGCTGATGCTGGCTAGGAGGAGAGGGACAGCCAGGAGGAGATCTGTGGATGCCCAGCCAGGGCGGCTGGGGAGGACATTGTCATGGCAGCCTGCTGGGCTGGGTGCCGGGAGCTGCTGGGGCTGCGGGCAGCTCTCAGCGTCTGGTTAAACCCTCTGACAGACAAGTGCTGGCAGAGCTTGTGCTGGGTTAATGCAACAGCCTTCCGGGGCTGGCGTCTGCCCTGCTCAGCTGCTCCAGCTCGGTCCCTTCTCAAGCATTGCTGAAGGTGGCTTTTGTGGCAGGAGCATCTGGTCCCCTCCACGACAGCCAGCCCGGGGACAGTAGCAGAGGGCAGAGCCCTCCCAGAGTGCTGGGACTGCTGCGGTACCGGTGGCGGCATTGGGCGCGGGGGTGGTGAAGGTCTGGCTGTTGCAATCTGTTTTGCAGCTCAGCTGTTTGTGGTGTGGAAGGGGTGAGGTGGCTGGTATCTTGGCAGTAATCCCTGGCCGAGCCAGCCTTTCTGGGGGGTGCAAAGGGATCGTATGGTTAGATCTTTGCTGGGGACAGCAGAACGTGCCATGCGGGGAAGGCGGCACCTCTTCGGATGCTTGGAAGGGAGCATGCGAGTGCTGGCAGACTTGCGTGACAGGCACCCTCTGTGCAAACCCTGCACCCGCAGCTATGAGCCTTGGTCCCCGCTCTCCTGGCTGCCGGCTGTCTGTCCCCGCTG